CTCAAAACATACTACTTACCTAACCTCACAGAGGCTGAAGTGGAAAATTTAACAGACCCGTAACAAAAGAAGAAATTGAACAGGTGATAAAAAAATTACCAACAACAAAAAAAAAAGCGCTGGCCCAGACAGTTTCACTGGCGAATTCTACCAAACATTCAGAGAAGAACTGACACCAATCCTACTCAAACTATTCTAAAACATACAAAAGGATGGAATCTTCACAAATTCATTTCATGAAGCAAACATAACCTTGATACCAAAACCAGGCAAAGACATCACTAAAAAGGAAAACTACAAACCTATATCCCTCATGAATATAGATGCAAAAATCTTCAACAAAATCTTAGCCAATAGATTCCAACAACATATCAAGAAAATAATACATTATGACAAAGTGGGATTCCTACCAGGTATGCAAGGATGGTTCAATATTAGAAAAACAATCAACGTCATTCATCACATAAATAAAACAAAGGAAAAGAACCACATGATCATATCAATAGATGCAGAAAAGGCATCTGATAAAATCCAACACCCATTTTTGATAAAAACTCCCAGCAAAACAACGACAGAAGGGACATTCCTCAACCTAATAAAGGGCATACATGCAAAACCAACAGCCAACATTATTCTCAAGGGAGAGAGACTGAAACCATTCCTTTTGTGAACAGACACCAGACAAAGATGCCTTCTATCAACACTTCTGTTCAGCATTGTATGGGAAGTCCTAGCCAGGGCAATAAGGCAAGAGAGGAAATCAAAGGCATCCACACTGGTAAACAAAAAGTAAAACTATCCCTATTTGCTGATGATATGATCCTATACATAAAAAATCCAAAAGACTCAGGAAAAAAAACTACTGGAACTAATTGAGAGATTTAGCATAGTGGTGGAATACGAGATCAACATCCAAAAATCAGGTAGATTCCTCTACATCAGCAAAGAGCTTGCTGAGAAGGAAATAAAGACATCAGTGCATGCACAATAGCTTTCAAAAAATAAAATACTTGGGAATAAATCTCGCTAGGGACACAAAAGATCTGTACAAAGAAAACTACAAATCATTACTCCAAGAAACCATAAAATATCTACATAAATGGAAGAACACACCATGTTCATGGATGGGAAGATCGAACATTGTGAAAACGTCAATTCTACGCAAAGCAATCTACACATTCAATGCAATCCCAATCTAGATCCCATCGACATTCTTTAAAGATATGGAAAAACCAAAAACTAAACTTTATATGGAAAGGAAAGAGACTTTGCATAAGCAAAGCACTACTGAAGAAGAAGAACAAAGTAGGAGGTCTCACACTGGCAGATCTCAAAACCTACTACACAACCACAATAGTCAAAACAGTCTGGTACTGGTACAACAACAGGAACTTAGATCACTGGAACAGAACTGAAAAACCTAGAAATAGATCCATCGACCTATGGTCAGCCAATCTTTGACAATGGGCTGAAATCCATTAAATGGGAGAAGAGATGGTCTCTTTAACAAATGGTGCTGGCAAAACTGGATATCCATTTGCAGAAAAATGAAACAAGATCTATATCTCAACACCATACACAAAAATGAACTCCAGATGGATCAAAGCCTTAAATATGAAACCTAAACCTTAAAGTTCCTCAAGGAAAACTTGAGGCAAATTTAGAGGCCCTATTATATGGCATACATAGACTATCAAGCATAGCCCAAAATGCATAAACAGCAGAAGATAAACTAGATGAATTGGACCTTCTAAAAATTAAATTCTTATGTGCTTCCAAAGACTTCTCCAAAAGAATCAAAAGAGAACCTACAGATTGGGAAAAAATATTTGGCAACGACAAATCTGACAAGAGACTTATCTCTAAAATTTATAGAAAACTCCAACAACAAAAAGATTAAGAATCCAACTAAAAAATGGGCAGAAGACATGAATAGACACTTCACCAGAGAGGATATTCAGGCGGCCAGCAAATACATGAAGAAATGTTCATGATCATTAGCCATTAAAGAGATGCAAATCAAAACAACAATGAGATACCATCTCATCCCATCACTAATGGCAAAGTTCAACAAGACAGAAAATAACAAATGCTGGTGAGGATGTGGAGAGATTGGGACTCTCATACACTGCTGGTGGGACTATAAAATGATACAACCACTGTGGAAAGCAGTATGGCAATTCCTTAAAAAGCTGCAATTAGAAATAACATTTGATCCAGCAATTCCATTACTAGGTACATGTCCTAAAGAAGTGAAAGCTAGGACAAGAACAGATATTTGCACACCCATGTTCATCACAGCACTATTTATAACAGCAAAAAGATGGAAACAACCGAGGTGCTCATCAGCAGAAGAATGGATAACCAAACTATGGTACACACCAACAATGGAATACTATGCAACACTAATAAATAATGTAAAATCTGCAAAACACTGCATAATATGGATGAATGTGGAGAACATTATGCTGAGTGAAATAAGTCAATCACAGAAGCACACATATAGTATTAGTTCATTGTTGTAAAAACTCAAGGAAAGGTTTATATATGAAACGAAACTTTCTTTCTTGGTTACCAGGGATGGGAGTGGAGGAGAGGGAACACTGAAAAAAAAAAAAAAAAAGCACTGACCCATATCACTTTAGTTTTGGTATTTCACTGTACATAAATAACATACCAACAATATATATTTTAAAAAAGTCCATATCAATAATAATGCTAACAAGGTTACGATAGCTTCTTAGCCATAGTCAAACACCTTAAGGAAGTGAAACACTAGGCTCATGGGCTCAGAACCATGGTTGCAAGGGACAACTGCCATAACATACTACACAAAAACACTGTCTACATCCTACTCTGGTGAGTAAACAAAAAAACAAACTCACTGCTGTCTAGTTGGATCCAACTCATAGGGACTCCTTCTTGGGTTTTTGAGGTGATTTTATCACTACAGAAGTAGATTGCCCAACCTTCCTTCCAAGGAGTGGCTAGTGGATTTGAACCACCAGCCTTCTGGTTAGCAGTGAAATGCCTTAGGCACTATGCCACCAGAGCTCCTACTTTAGTGAATAGTGACTGTGTTCTTAAAAGCTTGCAAATGGCCATCTAAGATGCAATAATTGGTCTTTCCTCACTCAGAGTAAAGAAGAATGAAGAAAATCAAGGGTGCATGGAAACAATTTGTCTAAGGGACTAGTGTATCATGTGAACCTCAGCCTACATGACTGTGAGACTAGAAGAACAAGATGGTGCCAGGCTACCATTGTCAACTGCTCAGAAAGGGAGTAGGGGAAAAAATGTGGAACAAAACTCAAAATCATAATAAATAAATAAATAAATAATAATAATAATAAAACCCCACCAGACTTACTGGTCTAATATAGACTGGTGAAACCTCTGAGACTATGGCCCCTAGTCACCCTTCAGGCCTGGAATTGAACTCATCTTGTTGCTTCCAGCCAAACAATGGACAGGCCTACAAGGTGAACAATTACTCCAGGTATGTAATACTCCTTAGAACAATCAACCATGGGAGATCAGAAGGGTACCATTTGTACAGGAAGCCTCAGAGGGTAGGAATGCAGAGCAAGAATGACACAGAGAAAAGGTAACCACAGGGAAGAAGTGGGAAGAGAGCTGTTACATTACGGGGATTGCAATCAATGTCATGAAACAAAATGTGTATCAGCTATTGAATAGAAAACAATTTTTTTTCTGTAAGCTTTCACCCAAATCACAATTTTTAAAAAAAGCCTAGAGCCACCAGTTGCTAGAAGAGGTAAGAAACAGATTGTTCTTTAGAGCCCCCCAAGGGAATGTGGTCTTGCTGATGAATTTCTGGCCTCCAGAATTGAAGGAGAAGAAACTGGTTCTAGCTATCAAGTTTGTTATCATTTGTTACAGCAACTCTATAGAGAAATAGGGAGCTCTGGTAGCATAGTGCCTAAGGAACTTGACTGCTAACCAGAAGGCTAGCAGTTCAAAGCCACCAGCCACTATCGGAAGGAAAGTTGGGCAATCTACTTCCGTAGTGATACTATCTCGGAAACCCAAGGAAGGGTTGCTATGAATCGGGTCCAACTCGATGGCACGTAACAACAAAAACAACACAACATCTAAGGAGAAGTAACACAAGCACGAATGAACGTAACAGATAATACCTTAAAGGACAGACAAAGTGAAGAGGATAAAATTTTTATAATTCGGAAAGAAATGAAGAGTGTCATAAGAAGGATTTGGGAGAAAGTGACAAACTCTTGATTCAGCAATTATATTCTACATCTCAGAATTTTCCTTGAAGAATAATCATGAATGTTCTGCAAAGATTTGTGTAATCACAGTATTATTTTTAATAGCTTACAAATGGACAGCTACTCAAATATCTAGCAATGGAGGCTTGAATAAAGATAAACTACAGAGCACATATGATTACCCCACTAGGACCATAGACCAGGACGACCAATAAAAAGAGAATGGTAAAACTCTGACCCAGGATTCCACTGAAGGTCCTCTACCTCCAACACACAGGCTCTTCTGCAGCCTTGAAGATCCTAGTTCCATGTCTTTTGACTCTAAATTACCCTCTCACTCACAACTTCCTCTCTTCTACAATAAACACAAGCACTATCCTATAGAAGTTCTTTCTCACACTGATGTAAGAATCCACATGATAGCAACAGCTTCTATGGTTAAATATAAAACACAGTATATATTTTTTAAGGAAGAAGACTTGACATTTTCTGAAAACAAAACTAAAAAAATCCCTAAATTGTTACAGTGGTTCATCTATTTTCCCAATTTTATCTTCGTTTTCTAAATAAACTGGTGTATTAAAATAGGCACCTTATGAAGACCCAGATTAATACTGCCACATTAACTGTGGTATATTGATGCTAACCACTGCAACTCATTATAATGTACTAAGAGTCTGCTACTTAAAAAAATAAAATGTTCATTAAAATGATTAGTCATGGGACAAAAACACCTTTAACAGAACTTACTTTAATGTATCCAAACATTGGCAGAGCTTGGTTAGGTAATTTCGTTGGCGTATCTATTTCTGGATTAATATAGTGTCGATCAAGACAGAGCCTTTTGTCTCTTAAAAAAAAGGAAACAAGATTTTTATACCAGAAAAAAACAATAATAATTATTATCATTAATTTTTAATTATTCTTTAGGAAAATTAACCCACAACTGAAATCAGAGAGATTTTGCTCCACACATCTTTAAAGTGAAGTAACCACATTAAATACTTCAGATGGTACTGAGAGTATATAAAAAAATGGAAAAGTATCCTAAAACATAATTAACATTGAATAAAATGAAAGGAGATAGTTATTTTATTATTTCTCTAGACATTCTTAAATGTATTATGTCAATAAACAAAATACACTTCCAAAAGAAAGACTCCTGAATCAGAAACATACTGCCATAATGCACAGTAAGGGTTGATTAAGCTCTAAACTAGAAGTTTTAGCTATAATGTTATTTCCAAGCTAAGCAACAGCTGAAGGTTCAGTTTCAAAAGTTAATATTCTACTTAAAGGCATATGGAAATTACTGCTAATAACCTATTCAATATACCATAATTCAAAACAGTTAATGCCAACACTTATCTTAAAATCAAACTGAATACAGCAAATATTTATCAGATACCTATTACCTATCCCTCTCTCAAACACTGGCATTATATCTAGATCAGTGTGAGGCAGGATCCCATTAATTGTTAAGAAGTTCACATTTTCCCAATTAATCCACAGGATTAATGCAGTCCCTATTAAAATCTAACCAAAAGTTTTCAAAAAGTTGGCAAGCCATTCTAAAACAGATACATAGATACAAAAATTAAATAATAATAATAATAATAATAAAAGTAAAATGAACAGCTGCCATTGAGTTAACTCCAACTCATGGTGTCCCCCTGAATACAGAGTATGTGCTTTAGGGTTTTTGAAGCTGTGGTCTTTCAGAAACAGACTGTCAGACCTTTCTTCCAAAGAGCCTCTGGTAGGGTTTGAACCACCAACCCTTCAGTTAGTAGTCAAGCACTTAATTGTCTGTGCCAGCCAGGACTACATATGGAGATACAGTAGATCTAAAACAGCCAAAACAATCTTGGAGTAGAGGAGCATAGCTGGAGGACTTACCTGATTCCAAGACTTACTATAAAGCTACAGTACTTAAGAAAATGTTGTATTGGTATAAGGACAGAAAAAAAGTCAAGGAAAGGTTTACACAGGGAAAGACATTTTCTTTGGTGGTTACCAGAGATAGGAGGGGAGGGGAGGGAAGGAAAAATTGCTGATTAGTTAAGAGACATATGTTGATTTGAGTGAAGGGAAATACAATATAACAAAAGTGTGTGACCAGCACAGTATCACTAAAGAAAAGGAAGACGCAGAGAGGTACATGAGAGGTACAGACATGTAATGCTATTACATTATTATGTAAATGCTATTACATACACAACACTGCACTATCAGTAATAACAAACACTGATCTACAGGTGGACACACAAGTAAATGGGCAAGAAGATCAGGCATAGTAGGCAAACAGGAATATACCAATGACCATACATAGGTTTGGCAGACAATATTCTCACATATATATTTGTATGTGCTATAAAAATGTGAAATGAATCTGCTTTGTAAAATTTCACTCAGATCACAATAAAAAATTAAAAAAGGATCTAAATATGAGAACTAAAACTATAAAAATCTTAGGAGAAAACATCAAGGTAATACTTTGGGATCCAGCTTTTGAAAATGGATTCTTAAATATGACACCAAAAGTATGAGCAACGAAAGATAAAACAGACAAAATTAAGAACTTTTATGATCAAATGACTTTACAAAAAGGAAAGAGACAACATACAGAATAAGAGAAAATATTTGGTAACCATATATCCAATAAAGGTTTACTATCGAGAATATATACAAAAATGTATTCAACTCAACAACAAAGACAAAAAATCCAATTGAAAAATGGACAAAGGACTAAGACATTTCTACAAACAAAATATATGATGGTCAACAAATACATGAAAACATGTGCAGTGCCATTAGTTATTAGAGAAATGCATTAACAAGACCACAATGAGCTATCACTTCACTTTCACTATGATGACTATTAGCAGGGAAAACAAGCGTTGGCAGCAAGGATGTGGAGAAATTTGAACCTTCATCCATTGCTGGGTGGGGCTGTGAAATGGTACAGCCGCTATAGAATAGAATTTCAGAGTTCCTCAAAAAATTAAACACAGAATTACCAAATGATCCAGCAATTTTACCCCTAGGTATAGACCCAAAAGAAGTGAAAGCAGGGATTCAAACAGATACTTGTACACTAATGTTCACTGCAGCATTATTTACAATAGCCAAAAGGTGGAAAACAACCCAAATATTCATCAACTGTTGAATAAAGAAAGAAAATGTGTTACCTACACACATGATACATGCTATGATATGGATGAAACTTAAAAACATCATGCAAAGTAAAATAAGTCAGAATCAAAAGGGTAAATATTGTATGATCCCACTTACATCAGATATCTACAACAGGCAAATGCATAACAATGAAAGTCTATCAGTAGTTGGGAGCTCTGGTGGCATAGTGTCTAAGGCATTTATTTGAAGGCTAACCAGAAGACTGGTGGTTCAAACCCACCAGACACTCAGAAGGAAGGTTGGCGATCTACTTCCATAGTGATACCACCTTGGAAACCCAAGGAGCGGACGCTATGAGTCAGATTCGACTCAATGGCAGTGTGTTGTGTTGTTGCATCAGTGGTTACCAGGGAATGAGGAAATGGTAAGTAACTGCTTAAGAGGTACTGGGTTTCTGTTTGGAGTGATGAAAAACTTTTGGGACTGGATAATGAGGATATATGTTACTGAATACTTCAGTACAGTGGCTGAAATGGCAAAGTATTTTAGTGATAGATATTTTACCACACACATACCAAAAGGACACCATTAAAAGGGTAAAAGGCAAGCCACAGACTGGGATAAGATATTCTCAATGCATGTATCTGACAAAGCACTTATATTTAGAACACATAAATTATTTCTACAAACCAGTAAGAACCAGATAAACACCCCATTTAAAAAATGAGCAAAAGACCTAAATAGGCATTTCACAAAAATAGCATGGTCAAATATTCCATAAGAATATGAAAAGACAGTCAACATCAATAATCATTTAAAAGAAAAAACAAAATAAAACCTGTTGCTGGCAACTGGATTCTGACTCATAGCAACCCTACAGAACAGAGTAGAACTGCCCCATAAGGCATCCAAGGCTACGGTCTTTATAGAAGCAGACTGCCTTATCTTTCTCCCATGCAGTAGCTGGTGGGTTCAAACTGCTGGCCCTTCTGTTAGCAGGCACTTAAACCACTGTGCCACCAGAGCTCCCTCAACAATCTTTAGGGAAATGCAAAGTTAAATCATGGCAATTTGCTACCCTTATACCCTCATTAGAATATTAAGTTTGGTGAGGATATGAGGCAACTTGAACTCTCTCATACACAACTGACAGTAGTATGGTCAACCACTTTAGAAAAGTTAAACATACCTATCCCATGACCCAGCAATTTCACTTCTAACTATATACCCAAAAGAAATGGATGCCTATTTCCACAGAAAGACATGTCCAAGAGTGTTCACAGCCACTGGAAACAACCCATCAACAGGAGGTTGTATACCTAACTTGTGATGAACTTATACAATGTAATACTACACAGCAAAAATAAGTAAATAATAAAATACTGGTGCATGCAAAAATATAGATGGATGTCATGGATATCAGGCTGAGAGAAAGAAGCCAGGAACAAAAGAATAGATACTGTGCAATTCCACTGATGTGCAGTTGAAAAAATAAACAAAACTAGATAGATACTGAGAGATACTGGATTACCGCTGGGGGAGGAGGTAAACTGAGAAGGAGTGTGATGGAATCACCAGGGTGCTCCCTTAAGAGAGCTGGGTGGTGGTTACATGGATGTAAATGTACTTAATTCTCAAGCTATAAACTTATGATCTATATGTAATTTACTGTATGTTACAGGCCAGTTTAAAAAAGAACACTAACTTACTTGCAAAATCCAAAAGCCTTCAGATATGGACAAAGAGGCCTTCTGGCTTTTTTATCTTCTTTGGCTTCGAGAACCCCTGCAGTAAACTCATACAGCTCTGCTGGAATTTTGGCATCTGCTCGCTCCAAGTAGCGTAAGACACCAACTGCATGGCATGAATTTCTCTCCGTCAGCAGCAAAACAGATTTGGTTTTTTTATCTCCCTGTTCTGCAGGAGAACCCTTAAAATCAGGGGGGGATAAAGGAAGTGGATCATCCCCATCAGCCTACAACATGACACTTGCACACTCTGAATACTCATTGCACAGAAAATGGCAGCAGAATGTTAAAAGAAAATAAAAATTAATCAAACCTGTTCAGTTAAACTCTGAAAATGATCAGACATGCAATACAGGCGTCCACCAAAAATTTTTGGTGAGGAAGGGAAGCTGAAGTGAATCACACACGTGGCATCGGTGATGGCCAAGAGTGGCAAGCAATCATCAGTTAAAACTGGAGAAAAGGAGTCCAACAATTTCACATTAGGCACTTTCTTTCACTTCATAGTGCAGTTCCAATGACCACACTTCAGTATATTCTTTACTATATTTCACATTTTATATGCAAAAAAACTTCCTTCTCATTTTCCCCAACAATACTACAATTTCATTCACAGTGATTATATTTCAGAGAAAAGTGGTCTCTCTGTTATCTTGAAAAAGGCCTTTTGCTATTACAGAGAGGCCTTCTGGTTTATATATGGAGGCCTTCAAGTTGTCCACATATTTTTCACTTATTTTATACACTTTGACTTTTATATACTTCTAACACTGAACTTAATCACTTCTGATCACATTTCTTCTTAGGCTTATATATATATAAATTACTCTAGCATACAACATAAGCACATTATTATTTGTGTAATATATATTTCTTGTTTGTTTAGTCTTGTTTTTATTGAGACTGTGATCTTCAAGTTGAAATCCAGGAAGGATGTCTAGACTAATGGTCACTGCCCACTGATCTGAGAGCCCTGGATGCACCTAAATCCACCTCAAAACTAAAATCTTAGTGGAGGTCATCTTTTCATTTTGAAATTAACACTACTAGTAAATCTCAGTAAACATGTGAAATGAGAAATTTGGAGATGAGATACATAAATGAAGATGTGATTCATATTAGCTCAGCCTTCTCTAAATACAAACAGAAAACACTTACCCAATACAATATGAGAACCAGAACTTAACTTCTTCTTCCAGTGTTCTAAAACACTTTTTAAATGAAAAACTACTTCTTTATGCATTTTCAAGCAAAATACTGAACTGCTTTCTACTACCTAAAAATGAAACCAAAGAGACTGATTCAGTCAAAACCAAAACCTTCAAGTTAGCAATTGCAGTGTAGTAAATTACTCAGTATGGCTTTTTTACCCATAAGTCATTGTAAACTCAGTGGTGGTATGAGCAACTGAGGATCTCCTGATTGTAAATGTTATCCACCTGGGTTATTTCTGTTGGGCGTGGTGCAATACAATGTTCTGGGAGGTTCCCACTCTCTCTCACGTGCTTAGCGTTCTGATGCTATGATTGGCTAGTTTGGCCACTCTACCGGGCTCAAAAGGAGGCCTCCTAGAGTCAGAACTCTCTCTGACTGTTGGTTGAGGAAGACGTACTGCTGAAAGAGACACGTGCTGCTGGGAAAGAGACGCAAGGGACACGCATTGCTGAGTGAGACACTGAGGGACCAGCGCTGCTGGGAAAGAGACTGTGAGAGACTGTTGGCTGAGGGACAGTGGGCTGGGAGAGAGGCTGAGCATTTTTCCTGAACTCGAATTGTAGCCTGTGGTGCTTCCCTAATAAACCCCATAATCTGTGAGCTCTGTGTGGCCACTGCAGTGAATTATCGAACCCAGGAGAGAGGTGGTGGGTGCTTTGGGAGGAATGGTTGGTGAAAGGGCTGGAGGGAGGCAGCATGTCAGGCCTGGCAGGAATAGGCCATGGGTTACTGATGATGACTCTGTCTTCCTCTTGTGGGATTAGAGGAGGTCAGAACATGTGGCCTTCTCACCCTTTATGTAGCAATATTAAAAACAAACATAAAACAAAAACCCCACTGTCATCAAGTTGATTCCAGCTCACAGAGACCCCATGTGTTACAGGGTAGAACTGTTCCACAGGGTTTTCTTGGCTATAATCTTTAGAGAAGCAGATTGCATTTCTTTCTTGATGCTGCTAGGTTAGCAGTCGAGTGTGAATTGTTTGAGCCACGCTGGGACCTCAATTAATCAAAATAACTACTTTATCAGTGAGAGTTATTACCTCATTGATCAGTAATTCTGGAGAATGAGATGATTATACACTTAAATATTTCCAAAATGCTATAGTTTCTTTAAAAATGTATGCAAGTGAAATAAACATTTTTTTTTTTTTTTTTTACCACCCACCCACCCACCCTGAAATAAACATTTTTTTGCTAAAACCATTTTCCTTCCTTTGGAAATAATACATACATACTTGTGCGTGTGTACATTTTTATACATGTGCATACATGTACACCAAACATTATATGCTGCTGTTGTCAGCAGAAGCTTTTCACAATACCTTTTTATTGCTGAAAGGCAGACGTTCTATTGAGTCTCACATTTTTATAATTTTGCAGTAATTTTTAAAAATTAGGTTAAATCAGATAAATCTTCAGCCTGTTTATCTGGCTTTTCTGGCTATATGATCATACTTTTAATGCTATCTTCTTAAATAGAGGGTACAGAACACACTGGCATTTCTTCATAAACCTTTTCGTGTTCAGCCATGACAAAACTATAAAGCACCGCTTCTCAGAGGAGAAGTTCATGTCATTGAAGAATCTGGTCCCATCTTCCTCGTCCCTCCTGCTCTCATTCCTGGTAGCAGAACTGCTTCTATTTCTGAATGTAAATTTTATTTCCCTGTGACATATAACTACTCCAGTAATCTTCCAGGAGTCCAGGATTCAACCACAATTTACACAGTGAGGAAGTTTTATATATGAAACTGCTCACCTTCCACACTACTTCTGTTTCAGCTACAGAACAGGTGAAGATCAAGGTCTTTTGTGCCTGACTTGGAATGAAATCCAGTGTTTGGAGTAAAGTAGAGGTTTTTTCACTTTCCAGGCAAAGATGTACTACCTGGTAATAAAACACAGAAACAATGTTATTTTCTAAATGTTCAAGATGCTCCAAGTTTCACTTTTCAAGGTAAGTTATGATTTTAATAGAAAAGAATGTCTAGGAAAGCAATGTAAGTTCAGACAAAACAAGTACAGATTTGTATGTAAAATCAAAGCTTTAATCTTCTAATACTGAGGCATGAAATTAAGGTACCTGCATGTGTTCATCAATCCCTCCCACACGCATTACATACATAGATACGCACACACACAGCTCATTACCTGTTGGACACTGCCATAGAGAGCAGCTTCTTCCATGGACGTGATCACAATGTAGGGATCATACATGAATTCTTTGATCAAATGCTCTATATGTTTGTTCCAATGAACTCCAACTGCAACAATCTGATGTGGTACTGCTTCCCTTTCTTCAACCTCTATATATTTTTTAAAGTTATCTAATATAGCAAACATCTAAAAAATTAGTAAAATTAACTTCATTTTTATCTCAAGAAGGGAGTAAGAATTTAGTTTAAAAACAGAACATAAAATGCAAGAGATTGAATATTTTCTTTCCTCTGAGTAGGGAAGGTCTTTTTTTAAAAAAGAAAAGATAACGAAAAAAGTTTAAAAAAGTTAAGTTTACAGTCATTAAACATACTAAAACCCCACAATAAAAATAAAAACACAAACAACAGATTGTGGGTTAAGTATATATAGTATAGGAGCTCTGATAGCGTAGTGCCTAAGGCACATGACTGCTAACCAGAAGGCTGGCGGTTCAAACCCACCAGCCACTCTTCAGAAGGAAGGTTGGGCAATCTACTTCCATAGTGATACCACCTCAGAAACCCAAGGAGGGGTCGCTATGAGTCAGGTCTAACTGGATGGCACATAACAACAGCAACAACATACATAGTATATATAAAACAAAGGTTATAACAAAATAATAACATTCTTATACAAACACTTTTAAAAGGTGGTTACAAAGATGATCTTATCAATAGAAAATAACAAAAGGAAATTAATGAATGAATAAGAAAACTCTTAGAATGGCTACAAATAAGCAATATAAATTAATGTTCAACTTAACAAATAATTAAAGAAAGACAAATTAATCTAATGAGATACTACTGTTTAATAATTAGACATCCTACTAAGGTGAGGAGTGTTGTGTGGAAGTGTGAACAGGTATATGCTTTTAGGAAGGGAACCATACAATGCAGTGTACCAGGATAACAGACACTTTAGAGGAGTGAAGGAACCCTGCCCAGGGTCACACAGTCAAAAAGAAAGGAAGTCTGGACTTAAATGTGGGCCCATCATACTCCCAAATGAATGCTCTTGGTTACCATGTTATACTCCTTCCAACAAATGCCTTAATCCCCTTGCTGGGAATTTATCCTAAGGAAAACATGAGCAAAAAAGAGATACATTTTTAAATCACACACCCAAAAAACTATGCTAAACATCCAAAAAATGACATTTTAAAATAAATTATGTCATTCCCATAGGATTCAACACCATATATGGCTGATAATGCCATAGAACAATAACCAATAATATTCACAATGCTAATAACTGAAATATATAAGTTACAAGTTAATACATAAAAGATAGTCTTCATATTGTTAACTGTATGTATAAAACAAACAGAACCTCTAAAAAAGAAAGAAATAGGACTTCTGGTGTCAGACAAGCTACACAGACCCTATTCAACAAAGAAAAGAAACTGACAAAGGTAAAAAGATAATCCTAGAGCCCTGAACTCTGAAGGAAATGATACAAAAGTAGATTGAACACCAACTAGTAGAAGAACCTGAATGAAAACAGTGAGTAAGGAGACAAACGGAGCTGTGGACCGTCAGCCATCTTGACAGCATGGACAGGTTGAATATTTCCAACTGGTGTTATTACCTGAGAATTAACCTAAAAACTGGCCCTGCTCTCCAAGGGCTGCATAGACGACTACACTGGTGGCAGATGACAAAAGGGAAACGGCAAAGAAGGAGACAAACTGAGCTGTCCAGAGGGCACAGCCATTTTGAATGTTTAGAAGACATGTGGCCATTTTGAATATTTAAAGGTACAGTGTTCTCATTCACATTCCAGGGACATAAGAATAGGCTTTGCTTGCTGAAGATAGCCCAGACATACTGAAGATCAAGGACTGAAAAGGTGTGATATTCCCTTAGTTACAATTATACTCCACACCCTCTAGATGAATGACGGTACAGCCATCCCTTATCTCTACCCACCTTCTGCGCCAGCAGCAATTCTATCCCAGTCTGTGTGTTCTGACAGAGCCTGGGTGCCCTGTCCTGCTCCACTCAGATTTTTTTTCTTTTTATATTATTCTTTTTTTGTTTTCTTTCCTTTTTATTTTTACTTTTTTTTTTCTCTTCCTAGGTTCTAGTTTATGGCTTTTGTTCTTCCCTTCCCTTGGTTCCCATTTGTTTCTTTCTTGTGGTCCTTCCCATCCCTTGTTTATCCTTCTGCATTTTTCCCATTATTTTCTTCATTATTCTCTTATTCTAGCTCTTTTATTGCCCCCTTCCCAGATATTGTGGGATATTTTTTCTTTCTCTTTTTCTATTTATATTTCTTTTGTCTTCCTAAGTATTTCTTTAAATATTTCATCTCCTTTATTGCCTTTTTTTTCTGTCTTTCTCTTTTTGATGATTATTCCCATGTGTTTATGTAATAAGTGTTTTCGTCCTTTTGTTTTTACTTTTTTGGTGGTTTTCCTGATGGTTATTTTTGTCTAACTGAGTGGGAGATAGCAACCATGCCCATACAACCCAACCATACCCACACCTCCTGTAGCCCCACCTAATGAGTGAGGGCCACCACTTGCTTCTGCACCAACTGGCCAACAATACATGGGAGCTAATACAAGCATGACTCACCCTTAACTACTCTATACAAAGACCTATCAGAGATCTATGCACCTACTCTCATTATCTATCACCCCAACCAGGAGACAAGTGGTGAGTACATAAGTGCTACCAACCAGTGAACAAAGGACTACAGTACCCTGCTTACTCAGATACATTCAAACAAAACAAAGAAAACTAAAATCTTGGGTAAATCACTCCAACATATATTCACCAATTACATATAAATACAAAAATGGCATAATGCCTCAGAGACAACAGACCATCAGTCCACACAGAGAAACAAGATAAAGCAGCAAAACCAAGGGACAAGGACAGAGACCCAGAAAACATCCCTGGGGAAGAAGCAGCATTAGAACTTCCTGATAAGAAATTGAAAAGAATTATATCTAAGTACCTTCAACAGACTGAGAGACAGATCAAGAAAAACCTTGACAAAATTAAGGAAAACACAGATAAAACTCTAGAACAATTCTGGAGACAATACAAGCACAAAATGACAAAACAAATGAAAAATTTATGATATGATATGATACAAAATCTAAAGACTGAAATCCAGAAGATTAATACTAAATTTTCAGAAATAGATAACACATTGAATGGGCAAAGGAGCAGAATTGAATCAATGGAAAACAGAATTAGTGAGACTGAAGACAATTACCTCAATACTTCTTTAGAAAGGGATTAATCAGAAAAAAAGATCAAAACAAAATGAAGAAAGCCTAAGATTCATGTGGGATACCATCAAGAGGAATAAACTATGTGTAATCAGATGTCCAGAACAGAAAGAGACAAATAAAACCACAGAGAAAACAGTTGAAGATTTGTTGAAGAGAATTTCCCTGCTATGATGAAAGACGACAATATATCCATTCAAGAGGTCAAATGAACCCCAAACAAGATAGACTCCAAAGGAAAATCACCAAGACATACCATCTCAAAGTCACCAAAACCAAAGACTAAGAAAGAATCCTGAAAGCAGCATGGGAAAAACAAAAAGTTACCTACAAAAGGCAACCGATGAGACTACGGTCTGATTTCCCAGGAGAAACCATGAAGGTGAGAAGGCAATGGAATAGTATATGTAAAACCCTGAAAGAAAAAAAAATTCCAACAAGAAATATATACCCAGCAAAACTGTCCCTCAAATATGATGGTACAACTAGGAGATTTTCCCATAAGCAGAAATTAAGGGAATTTGTTAAGCCAGACCAACCTTATAAGAGATGCTAACAGGAGTCCTTTGGACAAAAACCAACAACAGCAAACAACAGACCATTGATACACAAGATGACATAACCTAGAAACCAACCCAGTTATGGAAGTTTCCAAAAGAAAATAAGCTTACAAGATTGTAAACAGAGAACCAGAGACATCAATTGGTAAATGAGGACAACTACAAACCAAAAAGAGGGAAAAAAATTATGTAGTTATAGAACTTCTAAATGGAGAGGAAGTCAAGACAATTGCAAGACAGAATGAACTGCTTTAAACTTGGAAAGAAAATTATAAATCACAGGGTAACCTCAAAGAAAAATAATAAACCTTCACATCAAAATAAAAAAGAGGACAAGCACCAATATTTAGGAAATACTAAAACAACAGCAATGAAAGAAATAACATGATTCATAAACAAAATGAGCTCAGTACAGAAAATTATATGGAACAAAGAAATCAGCAACATCATGAAAAAACACATAAGAAAAATGAGAACAACAAATTCATACTTGTTGATTACACTGAATGTCAATAGATTAAATGCTCCACTCAAAAGATGGAGAGTTGCAGACTGGATAAAAACATAATCCATCAATATGCTGCCTACAAGAGACATACCTTAGAAAGAAAGACAAAAATAGACTAAAAATCAAAGGTTGGAAAAAGTTATATCAAGCAAATGGAAATCAAAAAAGAGCAGGAGTGGCAATATTAATTTCTGATCAAATTGACTTTAAGACAAAAACCACCATAAGAAACAAGGAAGGACATTATATAATGATTAAAGATCTATTGAACAAGAGGATATAACCATAATGAATATCTATGCAGCCCATGAAAGAGTCCCAAAATACATAAATCAGACTTTACAGAATTGAAAAGGCAAATAGATGACTTCATAGTCACAGCAGGAGATTTTAATACACCATTTTCAATGAAAGACAGAACAAGTGGAAAGAAATTCAACAAAGACATAGAAGAACTAAACAATACAATCCATCAACTTGATTTTATAGACATCTACACAGCACTTCACCCAACAACAGCACAATATACATTCTTTTCTAGTGCACATGGAACATTGTCCAGCATAGACCACATGTTAGTCTACAAAGCAAGCCTTAATAAATTTTAAAATACTGACATACTATAAAGCATCTTCTCAGATCACAATGCTATAAAATGAGAAATCAGTAACAGAAGGACAAATGGAAAAAGAGCCAACACATGGGAACAGAATAACACCCCTCCTTAATAACGACAGGGTAATATAAGAAATGAGAAATGAAGTGAAAAAATTCCTCGAACCTAACAAGAATGAAAACACAATATATCACAATCTTTGGGAAAAAGCAACAG